ATAATGTTTTTTTTGGGTCCATGTGAAATCCATCTCATTGTCTCTGTTATACTTTCTCTACAGACCCCTAACTCTCTCTCTACCTGAATAGTAATTATATTATGAATTTAAGATATAAAGAAATACATAACAAAGAACACAACTTATATGAAAACAATATACCTCCTTTCGTAACCAATGACCAAATGTAATATTGTGCTCTTGCTCTAGCTGTGCCGTTCGTTTAGTAGGGTGTTGATGTTGCAAAAATTCCATGTGTCATATGTAAATACGTTAATGTTAATATAATAACAAAAAAAGAACATACATGTAAAAAAACTTACTTGATATAAGGGAGTACTTCAGATGTATTTGGAATACAAAGAAATGTGCTTTGCTGAAGAGTTCTACAGAAACTTCTACCGATTTAGCAGCTGATAGAGGAGCACCGTCCGTAATAGAATTAGTATCTACACCTTTCTGAATTCCACATGTGTTATGATTGTTAGGTGGAATACCAACAATATCCATCTTTTTGAGGAATTCACTAAAAAACTCAATCGTCTCTTTCGCAACATTCTCTTCTGCAATGCATCCTTCTGGTCTATTTTTGTTTCGCAGGTGCCCCTTAATAACCTCCATAAACCTTTCGAACGGGTACATCTATCTAAAGAATATTGGACCGCATAATTTTACTTCCCTAGTTAGATGAACGGTTAAATGAATCATCACATCAAAAAATTATGGTGGAAAGTGTTTCTGAAGAAGGCGTAAGGTTACACATAACTCCTCTTGCAACTTATCGAGATCATCCACTTTGATTTCTTTGCTACATATTGTTTTAAAAAAGAAACAAAACCTTGTAATAGCAACTCTAGTGGGTGGATGCATAATAGATCGAATTGCTATGGGAAACAATTGTTGCATGAGCATGTGATAGTCATGTGATTTGAGTCCGATCAACTTCCTATCCTTCAGACTCACCAAACTAGGAAAATTAGAACAATACCCTTGAAGAACCCTTAAGTTGTATAAAGTCTCATAGAATTTGTCTTTTTCCTCTTTTGTCAATGTGCAACCTGCTGCAGGAAGTGTTGTGTTCTTCCCGTCTATCTTAGGATGCAGCTCTAGTTTTAAACCATAATGAACCAAATCCAATCGAGCTTTATAATCATCTTTCGTCTTCCCGGGAACGTTCAACATAGTTCCACTTAAACTCTCGCCCACGTTCTTTTTGATATGCATAAAATATATATAATGTGGAATTAAATGGTGGCGCCAATACCTTAGCTGTCTATACCATATATTAAATTTCTTCCAGTATGTAGTATTTTGCTGGCCCACATCTGAAGTACCCACTTGGTTTGATTTTCTATTTTTTATTAATCTTCCCGCCTCTTTAGTTGAAGTTTGTTGGATTTCTGCCTCCTTGCCCTTAGACACCTTTCCCTATTTATTAATTATAAATTTGACCCTGTTATATATTTCCTCCCCATTCATAGGTTTTGGTGAGGGTGAGAACTCTTGTTATCCATTGAATGCCTTCTTTTGTCTTCTGAACGTGTGATCATACGGTAGAAATCGTCTATGACCAGCATAACTTTGCTTATTCGATTCAGGGAGTATAATGCAGTGTGTTTGTTCGCCACACACAACACAACCTTGAAATCTGTTGTAAGGACAACCACTTAATGTAGCTAGATCAGGATAATCATTAATAGTCCATAACACAACTGCACGTAGATTAAACTGCTCTTGTGCATATGCATCATATGTTTCAACTCCAATATCAAATAATATTTGTAGATCATCAACCAAAGGTGTTAGGAACACATCAATATCGTTTCCTGGTGTTCCCGATATCAATAACGAAAGCATGATGAACTTTATCTTCATACACAACCATGGTGGAAGGTTGTAAATTATAGTTAAAATAGGCCACACAATATGATTCCTATTTCCTCTATTCACATCGACCCCGTCATCCGAATTGCCTAGCCACAAATTTCTTGGTTCGCTAGCAAAGTCAGGATATTTGTCATCTATGACAGCCCATGCTGGTGAATCAGCTGGGTGACGTTAAACACCAATATCCACCTTTCTGTCTGTTACGTGCCATGTTAAATCTTTTGCAGTAGTCTTTGACTGAAAAAGTCGTTTCATGCGCAGAATAATTGGAAAGTACCACAAGAATTTTGCAGGAATATTCTCGTAAATTTTATTTTTTTGTTCATCGACCTTCCATTTTGATTTACCACAAGTGCGACAGACTGCCATGTCTACGTATTCGTTTCTATAAAGTATACAGTTATTGACACATGCGTGTATCTTCGTATACCCTGAACCCATTGATGTGAATGCTTTTTTGGCCTCGTATGTACTACTGTACATTTGGTTTCCTTCTGGTAACATATTTTTGATCAAAAATAATTCTGTAAAGTACTTATCTGATACTCCATACTTACTCTTCAAGTTGAGTAGCTGTATGATTGCAGATAACTTTGTGTAATTAGGACACCCTTTATATAGGGGCTTCTCGACATCTTCTATTAGTTCTCTAAACTTGTCAGGGCTCCCCATGAAATTTTCTTCTGCAACTTTAACCATCTCTACTGTTTCTACAGCATCTATTGGCATTTCTGTATTCATGTTCGTGGAATCAACAACGTATGACGTGTCCATGTCAAAATTCTCTTCATATACATAATTTCTAGGTGGTTCCTCTGTTTCTCCATGCTTATTCCAATTTGTGTATGTTTGATCAATTCCATTCCTGAATAGGTGAACATCTACCACATCCACCGAATGAGATATGTGGTTTACACACTTGATACATGGACATGGAATTTTTATCTTTTTTTTGGTATCTAGAGGATCCCTATTCTTAGAAATCTTGTAATTGCATACTGCATATTTCAAAAATTCTGCAACACCGTTTACATACGTTTCTGATGTTCTATAGGCTACCATCCAAGACTTATCCATCTTCAAGTTACAATAGCATCAACAAGTAATATATGTTCCTTGTTCATTGATGTATTTTAACAAACAGTTGGTGTGCATAAACGAAAAGATCGCATTACAAATAAATCTAATACATGGAAACCAAATACTTGTTAATTCTTGAATATATAATGATTCACTCCATGACCAAACGAAATAGCAAAGATTCATATTATGAGGATAATTGGTTTTTATGTCCCTGTAAAAATTAATGTTGTATGTGTACCTGTATGAATTTCTGGTTGAAGTATAAACGTATTTGCAATGCATTTGTAGTAAGCACATAATGATTCAATGGAAATTCATATTGTATCAAAATTTATATTTACGCAATGGGTGTGGATGATCAAGGATATATCGAGAAAAAAAAGAGATATTGCTTAATGATTGTTTTAACGTTTGACAGATTTAAAAAGTTATGTACATTATAAAAAGATAAAAAAGTGTTATTAGTGGGGTTCGAACCCATGCTCTTTCGGAATATGCCTTAACTACATGTACACTGACCAACTACGCTGACTGCTACTTCATAACTTATTTGGTTACGAAAAAAGAAAACATGATATAAAAACAACTTACCAAAATACCCTTACTTAATTATGTTATTGGATTTGAAAAGAGAAACATTTGACGAAAATACCTCTGCTTCCCCATTTACTGATCTAACACAACCACAGTTAGAATCATTTTTACTTTCCTCCTTTGATAAAAGAAATGTAATTATGGGTGCGAATTCTGTTTAATTAGTCTTTAGAATTGGAAATAAAAACAAATGAAAAAAGTACCCCTGATTCCTCTCACACTCATTTTGTTTAATTTAAGTTATGAACAACATATATGTATCCAAGATTAACTTTTTTTTATTATCATTACTATATGTTTTGTTGATGCATACACTTAGGTGCTGTTTCATTTTTCTTTTCCTTTTCTATACTGAATGACCATTTTACCCTTACATCTCAAACACAGTTTTAACAATATTCATTAATTTTTAACAGTAGTTTGGAGGGGTAAAATGTGTATAAGAATTAATGTATTAATATACTAAGCATTGTAGAAGGGTAATTTAGATATTTCACTAACATTCAAACATTTCCATTAACCAAAGTATATATACTTCATCGACTTTTTGGGTATAAAGCATATTAATAGGGTATGGAATACATCCATCCTCAGGAAAATCAGAAGCCCAAAGAGTGAGATTATCTCTCAAAAGTTGCATGATCAATGTGCTGTCTTTGTATGATTCCTCACTCAAAGTGTCCAACTCAGAAATCGCCTAATTAAAAGCTTGTTTACTCAAATGGCATGCCCTGTAATTTCATCATATAAAACACTTCAATTTCATACACCTATGCAAATTTTAAATAAAAAAGTAAAATATATGATTTTACTTTACAGGAGAACACTAAGAAATTGAGAGCCAGGCCCAGACGAATTGGGTGGGTTGAAGGGAGCTCTTTATTTGCAGACTCAAAAGCAGCCTAAAATGGAAAATTATAACATTTTCTTTGTTTTCTGCTAATAATGAACAATTGACGGATATACCCCTGCTTTATCATATTCTACATATGTTTAAAACATACATGGGACAAACTTACTGATCTAACACAACCACAAACATAAATCTGACCTGGAACTTAGCCTTAAAACCCAATTTATACATAATATTCAAAGTACATTGCTTTTTTATAACTTTAAACAAAAAAGAGTTTCAAAGTATCTAAATGAAAATGCCATGTATGATGATAACTATCTGATAATTATGAAATACACTCAAGATTACAATGGGAAATTCATATTTTTTCATTAATTCCCATTTTGCCCCTTTGACAGTTAGAATCAACACAACCATTAACATAAAGCATATATACACATCATATATAACATTAAACAAAAAAGAGTTTCAAAGTGCTTACAAAATAGGATGTTCTATTCCATCCAATATACACAACATATATACTATGTCTTAACCATGAAATAGCTTACTTCATCAAAAAAAAAAAGATAAAGGTTGCCTACTCTATGTTTTGCCATGCAGTCACATTCTCCATGGCCATGTCCATTGCATCTACCATCTTTCCTCTAGGAATGGTCATGTTTAGCGTATACTTGATGTATGCTATTCCATCATGAACTGTTTCCATTAGGTGTTCTGTTACAAACAGATTAATAAGCTTCTCAACTCTTTTGGATGGTGAGTTCATCATGAAGTTGGGGAAATTGATTGGCACATATATCGGCTTGTGTTCCACATATAGATGTTCAATCTCACGAAATTGGTGTGCCCTAACCATCATTTTGAATGTTCCCAAAGCATCATCGTCCAAAATTAGAGTCATGGACAAACCACAATGTTCCTTAGTAGGCATATGATACCAGTAACCCATAGTTGTATAACCCAAACTTTTAGAAAAACGACCAAGCAATTCCATGTTAAGCAAATCGATGTTGACAAAAGTAATAAAGTGAACTTTTGTTTTTTCATAAGATTTACCTGGATAATCGGTAAAATATTTGCCATGAACAACTCTAATCGTGAATCTCTTATCATTTCCTTTCCCATACTCTACGGTTGGTGGTTTTTTTGGTTGTTCACTGCTTATACTCCATAGTTGTAACCTCGGCTTTGCACATGGATCAATATTCATATTTGTTGCCATTGATCGACAAATTTTATTTCACAGAGGAGGAGCAATTCAAACTTATCATCGGTTGGTGATGAAAATGTAAGAATGACCATTTTCATATAAGGGGAGGGTTTAAATGGATGATCAATCGGATCTGAAGAGACATCGACGCAGACCATACTCACATCAGTTCCGATTACCTATAGGCTACAAGGGACGTGCAAGTTGAACGACATCAGTTATAATGATTAATGATATTAGTGTTATACATTAATATAATATTTACATTAGTTTAATATTAATTAAGTATAATATTAAATACTTTTTTTGTTTTTATTATTACCATACAAAATATAAATTAATAATTAAATTAAATAGATATATAAATTCATATTTTTTAATTAATATTTTTTTTAATTAAAAAATTCCATGCGTAAGTTGTGAATGAACTACAGGTGGTCGGTTGGTGGTACAGGTTGATCATTACTAGTCAGGTAGGGGTGTTGGTACGAGTTTAGGACCAAAATGGGTGTACAATAGGTGAATGGGTTACAAGTGGTCGGTTGGTGGTACGGGTTGATCATTACTATGTCAGGTAGGGGTGTTGGTACGGGTTTAGGACCAAAATGGGTGTATAATAGGTGTATGTGTTGAGAGAAAAACTTTGAGACACACTTGCACAAACGTTAGAACAAGTATATTGCGGAATAGTTAATCTCGAAAGATCTAAAAGCTCAACAATAATATTAATAAGTTAGAGTTAGATAGTTAGAGAGTAAGTTGCGGAAAAGTAAAGAAATGAAATGACAACAATTGTTATATCAAGAATACACATAAGTTGATTCATAACGAGGAATGCATTCAAGCCAAGTTAATAAGTGAGATCAAACTTAGTGATTAAATCACAAGAGACTTGCTCCGAAGAGAGATTGTAATCAATTATATTCTAGTAAGATTTGAGGGTAAGAAGTGATGCGTAGATAGAGAGATAGAAAAGATAACTTCAGAGATGTGTATTCAGATAGATCGATTGATTCGCACTAGATAAGTGAGAATGAGCTCTATTTATAGAGACTCAAGAAGTTACATTTGAATCACTCTCTAAGAGTAGCCATGCAAGGCATATTGGACAATAGAGAGTATTACAGAAAGACAAATAAACTAAGTAAAGTAGAATGACTGCGGTTGACTAGATGACTTCGGATGCGGTTGCTGAAGAGGGAGCTTGACTGCGGTAGCTGAAGTTCAAGAGGGTCACTTTTCATGATTCAACAATTTCCCCCTAAGTGACCTCTTTAAATTTTGTTCAGCTATCAAGTTTAAGAAACTTGATCAGGATCCACCAAAACTTCCTGATGTTTTCCAACCAAGTGATTCTCCTCTTAAAATCTCGAACTTGACTTCGGCAGTTGTATGCTTTGATCTTTCGATTGTGGTTCGATAGATTTCAAGTTGCTTCCTGGTGAGGCGATTCATGGTAGTCATAGGAATAAATATTTGACTTTATTGGTCTTCCTTTTGAAAATGACTCCGAGTTCAGGGAAGTTGGTTGCACCTAAGGATCTTTCTTGATAACCTTCAGTAGGTATCGGTGCATAATCGAGTGGTGGTAGATCAAACTTCTAGCAATGTGGGGTAGATGTCTGCGTCGATTTTAGCAAAATCACAGACAATCTCTTTCAAAAACATACTAGCTCTTTCAAGAGCTATCTTCATCTTCGGGTGTTTCTCCGACTTGTTTTGGAACACCTTTGCTATGACAAAGATTCTTCAGGATTCATGCAGGGGAAGTCAGCTTGGGTGCGGACATAGTCGTGTTCCCTTCTAGTGAGAGTGTATTGGATGAAGTCAGCCTTCATGAACTTCCGAGGCTTGTAGTTTTTGACTGCGGATGGTCTGTCGTTAGACCAGATTTTCTCAATGGGAGAGGAATGCTTAGCATAAAAATGGTAAAGTCTCTCGAATTCCATTGGCAGTCTTTTGTGGTCTGGAAGGCTGCGGTCAAACGGCTCAAACACTGTGAAGTATTTAGCATTTGGGGAGATTGGAACATCCCAGTAGCCATCCGAGGGGGGTTCAGCATATGTGAGGTATGGCTTGTAGTCATCATCCAGCAGTCTGCGGTGAGGATTGATCCAGGAGTTTATCAAGGATTCATCCATGATAGTGTCAAAACCGCATTCTCTCCATATAAGCTCAGCAAGTTTAGCTGCTTTCCAATCTTTTTTCCTTTGGGTAGTGGCAGGGGAGTCGTTTGAGCTTGGAGAGGACATGTGATCCACCAGATTTTTGAAGTGAGGAGGGGTCTCTGGTTTCTCAGGAGTGATCTCCTTTTGTGGTGGAGTATGATGAGGTGGAGTATGATGAGATGGTTGCGGTGAGGTTGCGATGTAGGAATTTTTTCTGTAATGATGGGGGGGCTTTGATGTTGGGAGAAGCTTTTGGAGTGATTGGAGTGATGGTCTTCTTCTTCTTCACTTCCCCCTCTTGAGGAATGCAACCCAGGAGCTTCCTCAAGCCATTTTCGAAGGCCATCAACTTTGGCAAAAACTTCCTGAAATTGGGCTTTAAGGGCATCTGCCAACTGTTGATTGTTGGGGATGGTGGAGTTGAAGAGCAGCCTGTGAATTTCCTTGGTGAGTTGAAGGATTTCAGGGCCATGGAAGTTGGTTGACAAGGATCTTTGCAGGCGGTTGATTGTAGCTTGAAGGACTGAGATAGTGGACTCATATGCAGTGTGAGTCTCAGCTATCAGCTTTTGAGATTGGGTGGCTTGATCCGCAATGGCTGCTTGTAGATCTTTCTTGATTGCGGTCACCTCAGAGATGAGGCGTTCCGCAGCAGCCATGAAGTCCTTGTGATCTGCTTGTCGATTGTTGTCAAGGGACCGGATTCCCATTTCAACTTTGAGGGAGATACGCTCAGCAGCCAATCTCTCACGAGTTTCCAAGCGTTCGATTCTTTCGATCAATGACTGCGGTCCGGGTGTGTCTTCTGGTTGCGGTTGAGTTGGCTTGACCGCAGCAAGAATTTGATCGACCTTTGCTTGCAGGCTCAAAAATTCCTTTCTTGTGACAGCATTCTTCTTCTTTTTCTTCTTCTCTTTGGGCTTAGAAGTTGAATGGTGAGAGCCACTGGATTCTTCTTCTTCATCGAACATCATAAGATCATCATCAGAGGGAGAGGGTTTGTTTACCTCTTGTAGATAACATCATCAAGACCGAAGGTGGGAGCAGAGCTGACTTCTATTGCGGTTCCTTCGTCTTGTGAGTCTTGAACTGGTGGAGTTGGAGGGACTTTGGAAGCACCAGCACCGTCATGAGTGGACTGGGCCTTGCGGATTGTCTCAGCCATCTCATTCATCCAGTCTTGAACTTTCAGTATGGTGGCTACGGTATTGGCATTGTTAATTGCATCTGCCCAATACTTAGCCACAACTTGGATTTCTTGTTCCTTTTGCTACTATTGCTTTATTTGTTGATATTTTCGTGCTTGGAATGCCCTATGGAAAGCGGCATACTTCTGGATGTCGGCTTCAGATACCGGAGTGTAGTTCAACCATGAGTCATTAGAGTTGTCACCGTCAAATCCTTGGTATCGCACCGAAGTGTCCTTCGGGTCCACAGATCCTTGCACATTTGTGCTCACCGTGCCTAAACCACCTGTTACAGATGTAAGCAGAGTATGATTTCCTAAGCTTCCTCGATCTCCTTGACCCGTAGTCAAGTTTGGGAAGGTGTTTGAAGTGTATGGGTGACATTCAAGAGGATGGAGTTCAACTCTGCAGGGGAAAATAAATGCAGTCGGGAAGCCCTGGAGACCTTAGGGCGAGAACCAGTGTTATCCTCTTGGGAATGAACTGGGGGGGGGGTGTCTCCACGATGAGATGAAACAGACTCACTTTCTGAGCCGGAGTGGTATTCTATTGTGGAGTTGAATGGGTCTGCGGCCACCCCAAGGACTACCGGAGCCTTTTGAGAGGCTAGGGTATCAGTCCGGTCGTGTATTTGGCCAGTGGGATTGGTTTTTCTTTTCTTAAGGATGGCAATTGGTTGCGCATCCTCATCAGAGTCACTGTCATTTGTGGTTGCGATTGGTTTGGTTTTGCGTTTCTTGGAGGGTGCAGTTGGTTTGGGAGCATCTTTCTTTGGGGTTCTTTGTTTCTTTGAGATGTTGCGGGGGCCTTGATGAGTTGAGGCTAATTTCTTTCTTCTTTGAGAAAGATTGGAGAGAGTAGTGGAAGATGGGACTGCGGTACTTCCAGGGGTAATGATTGCGGATGGGGTTTGAAGAGGCGGGGTAGGAAGGTATGGGGCAATACCTTCCGTAGCCTCAATATGATCTGAGACATCAGTAGTCTCCAGACCAAGAGTGTTGAGAATGTGGGTTGGAAGTCTTCTAATTGGTCCAAAAACAGATTGATCAGATGAGGGATTGTACCTTTTAAGATCCTTGGTGACAAAGAAGTTGATGTCGTTGCCCATGCTGATTCCTGCGTTCGCATGGAGGTCTAAAATGCAGAGGGACCAGAATCTTGCAAATGTAAGCTCGATAGGGTTCTCCCTTGGGTTCTCATTGGGAATATATTGTAGAAGATCATCCCATAGAATCTGACCGTAGTTTACGTCATGGCCAGTGAAGATTCTACATACTAACTCTAGGAGCTTGAGTCCCATATTATCCGTGCCTCCGGTTCTGCCGGATAGACTGCGGATGACAAAATGGCAAACGAATTGCCAGACCGCAGGCAATTGGTTTTTCTTGAATTCTCCAATGCCTTTGATTTTCTTCTGATATCCCATTTGGTAAAGTGCAGAAGTGATGTCCGCCATTGATGGAGAAAAAATCTTGATTGAAGGATGAACAAGAAGGTTAATGGCAGAAAGAAACTTTTCTTTAGACAGAATTACTAAAGAATCGTTAACTAGGTTTAGATGCACTTCTTGTGGGTTCTCGAGTGGTCGATAGGCTGAAAAGGCACATTTGAATAGGGTGGAAAGGGGAACAACGTCTGTAAACGAATCGAAGGGGCC